TTGTGGAGAACAGGACATGCTGTCTGCCGTGACTTCAGCCCGTGGAACCCATTAGAAACCAAACCCTCAGATCACTAATGTCCTCTTGGTTCCCTTCCACTCCAGTGCTTCACCCGGACGTCAGTCATCCACAAGAACACTTTCTTTCAGCCTTATTTTATTATTATTTTGAGATACAGTTCTCTCACGCTCCTTTCCTCTGATTCTTAAGACAAAGTCAAAGAAAGTTCCTAGACCTGACTTGTTGAAGTCTATGGAAAGCACAGGTTAGAAGCAGAACTCACGATTGTCTTCTGATGGGTATCGGGTTTTGAGAACAGAGGATTTTCGGCACTCTAGAAATACTCATGACTTTGACATTTTTTAATGGCAACATCTCTGAAATGGAGTTCTGTGGCATAGAATGGAGCGTGACCTGTGAGAACTGATACTCGGTTGCTTAGCACAAGAACTTAGAATCTATTCTAGAAACCCAATAGTGCTGTGATCCCCAGGGCCACATACACACAGACATCATGCTTACGTCAAGAGGGAATTAAATGTTCTTCTTTATTTGCAAAAATTCCTACTGGGATGTTATTTGAATCAAAAAATGGAAAACCCCCTTTCTCAGATAGAATAATTACTGAAGATGATTTGGAACATGCCTATTTTAGCCACCACCTACTATTAAATATATTCTAACAGTTGATACTAGTATATTATATTTATATTTGAAAATTAGATACTATTTTACTGTTTATTAAATTAAGAATCATATAACCTCCACTGGTTTTTACTTGTGTTGTAACACAATCAAGTGATAATAAAATAGGAATTTGTTTCATAGCTAATTTGTTTGAATTCATAAAAATAACTTACTTGGAATTGAAATTCTAGGAATAGTAGTGGTAATTGAAGTTTTTTTTTAATGTTTAGTCTGTTTTCAAGACTGTCTCATTCAGTGTATTGACGATAATATTTTCCTACTAAAATTATAATGACCTTGGGGCATTTTAGGCTTGACTGTGGTAATACCTTAAGAATGTACCCCTCACTTCAGTCAAGATTGGTTAGCATCAACAGTAGTTGAAATTTGTAAGGTATTGGCATGCAGGGGACAAGAAGGATAGCAATTATTGAGTGCCTGCGGTATGCTGACCTTTTTTAAAGGTTATGAATGATAAGAGAGGTAGGACTCCGGATGCCAAGCTGTTTAAAACACAATCGTTGATGCCAATTACGTGTGCCTTTGATCTCTTCTTAGGAAATGTAATGCAACATGTTAACATGTGCAGACAAAACACCTGCGTTCCAGGAAAGGCGACAACAGAGCTGTGGGGCTGGGGTAAGATGGGGCGAGAAGGATTGCAGGAGAGCTCCTGGAAAGAGAAGCTTACAACCAGTAGTGAGCTTGGGAGCAGCTGAATGAACGCCTGGAAGCTGAACTCCTTTTAACTTAGCAGATGGTGAATAAATTATCTTACTAGCATGCAGAGAATTTGTGTGACAGGACATACCACACTTGAACGGCATATATGTTCATAACCTACTGGCTGTGACACTGAAGGTCTGACATGTAAATTCACATGTTTTGACTGAGCTTGGGAACAACGGCCACTGTTTATGGGTTATTTTGCTGTATACTTAAAATAAATTACAAAATGTTTTAACAATGTAAAAGCAAATGCCTTTAAAATAGATTTTATTTCTATTAGTAGACAAGTTCAACATTTAATTTTTATTTTTATACTTATAGAGAGGTAGTTTTCAAGAATCAGTGACAGCTGTGAGTCCTACTAATGACTGCTGTAAAACAAAATCAGTTGAGACATAGTCCTGCATGTTTGCCAAAACGTTCCCAGAATATTCACCATGTGAATTCATGTTAGGAATCTAGCTGTTAGGTTATTAAAAGGGGTGCATGGTTAAATTATCATAAAGAAGGCTTACAATTTTTTGAGGAAAAGAGTCTTTAAAAATGTCTTGGGCTCTCCCTTGATCCACGTTTTTAATTGTTTTTTTTTTTTTTTAAGATCATATGTTCCAAATTAGGTAGTGATTAGGCAGGTGTCATCTCCTAAAAATGCATTTTTAGGAATAAAATGCTGAAGGTAATATAGAGTTAACCTCATCTAAACGTGTGAAGAAAGTCTGGAGAATTTAAATCAACTTATGGTTTACGGGTCCACTATGCAGGGTTTCACTGTCTGCACGGAACTTCCCTGGTCATCTTCCTTGGCAAACGGTGGCGACCAAGCCTTCCCTTCTCTGACAACGCTGAGCTCCGTCCTGCGTACCCGGTGTCTGGCCCCTGACCGGTTCTTCATTGCCATCTTACTGTTCTTCCGGTTCTCAGTCCCCGCGACCCGGCCGGCGTCGCCTCAGCAGAGAGTGATTCCCCAGGAGGACGCCTCACTCTTCCTAACTCCAGCGCCTGCGCTGCGGTCCCCTGGCTCTCACAGAGAGCCCTGCGCTGGCCGGCTTGTTCTGGACAGGTTTGGAGTCACGACACAGTTTGGGGGAGACACAGACTTTGCCCTTTCCTGGTACACGCTGGCGAAGGGGAAGTAAAGAAGAAACGCGTTCAACAGGTGTGGGACACCTGCGCAGGGCAGAGGGGCAGAGCGGCAGTGCGTGTGTGTGTGTGCGCGCGCGTGTTCTCCACCCGCACGTGGGATTTCCCAGAAGAAGGCAAAGTGGCTGAACACGGATTAGGTTTCTATTCACAAACGTGGACTCTCATTTGGGGTCGGGACAGCCCTGACCCGAATTCCGTTGTCGGTCAGAAAGCATCTCCCCTGCGTGCCCCTAGTCCGTTGTGCTGCTCTGCGATCTTTGCTTTGTCCAGGGGAGCGCTGGAGAGGAGAAGGACATACGGACAGGAAGAAGGCGGAGCCCGGGACAGGGTTCGTGAGGATCCCACAGTCTGCGCCCGGGTGTAACGGAGGCCCGCTGGACACGGGCTTGACGCCTTTGCTCGCCTCGCTGCGCCCACCAGGTGGTTGGGACCCAAGTGAAATGCGTATTTTCTTGGAGCTGCAAACTCGCCCTCACGAATCCAAAAATACAACTAGGGAAACCCCCCTGGCAAGGAGAAACAGTTTGCTTGTGAGGGAAGGATCCCCTAAACGCTGGCCGAGAAGCTAGTCCTCCCGCAAAGCGTGGACGGCCCCCGGGGACCGCGCCCACCGCGTCCACTCCGCCTCCGCACAGATGACGGTGATGGGGGCAGCAGCGGAGCCCAAGCCTGGGCAGCGCGCTCCATCTTTCCGGCTTTTCCTCCTGAGGGTGGGGTGGGAGGAGTATATAAAAAAAGCAAAATCGACGGAGGCGCCGTCCCCTCTTGCCCCGGCGAGGTAAGAGTCGCCGCAATCCTTCTCTTGTCCCACAAACCAAGGGATTCGGATCCTACGCGTGTCAGAGCTGGCAGCCGGACTTGCGACACCCAGAGTCAGCCTGGGAGACGCGGGGACGCCGTGGACTTTCCTGGGGGCAGGAGCCGCGCCGTGGCCCCAGAGTCCCACCTGCTCCGCTTGGAGCAAACGCGAGTGCGCCCTTTCCCGCTGTCCGGGTCTGGGCCAGAGCTGGTGGCAGTGCTAACGATGTCTCTAAAGCACGCTTTCAAACAAGAGTCGTGAATCTGGAGTTTGAAGGAGACCCGGAGGGCGCGGCTGGGAGCAAGCCGGGAGCCGGAGACCTTCTGTCCGCGGGGGCCTGGGCGCACGCCTGGAGCTCGGGTGACGCTCAGCCCTTTGGCTTGCGGGCAACACCACAGGGAGTCCGGCCCGCCCGGCCCACCGTGGGGCAGCAAGGGCACCGCCCCCACAGGCCCTGCCCGCCTCGGGGGCCCAGCCGCCTGCGCCCACCCGGCGCAGACACCTGCGCATCTTTGCGTGTGCTCCAGCGCTCCCACTTCCCAAACTTCGCGCGCCTCCTCCTTCCGAGCGCCTGCTGGGCGCCACATTTCCCTTCCACAGCAACTGTCTGGATTCTTGGCAGAATCAGGGGACGGCAGGGTCCCAGGAGAGCCACAGTGGGCGAGGGGGTTTCAGTTTGGAGGCGAAGGTCTCCTGGTTACCCTCCAGCTATAGCCGCGCTCCCATTCTGTAACCCCTGCGGGGCAAACCGGGCGTGCGCACTCTCAGCTCCGTTGAAAGTGGGGATGGGACAGCGAGTGCTGGGGACAAAACCTCCTCCAAACCTTAGGATTGTGGGAAGCACCCGGAGTTGCCTAAACTATCAGCAAACGTCCGAGTTCCAACTCTCCTCCTGGGAGTTTTGACTGAGCGCAGCTCCCTTGGAGCTGCTGGCCGGCCACCAGGATGACTCCTGGCTCGGGCGACCCACAGGCCGACGTGGCTGGCCCGGGAGCCCGCAGCGGCTGCAGCTGCAGGGCTGCGGGTTCAGAATCCCGAAAGTTGCCCCAGCTGGGACAACGCCCCGCAGACCCCCGGCCGGTATTTTGCCCGCCGGCCGGCCAAGCAGCTCGCGGCGCGCGGAGGGCTGCGGCGGTGCAGGGGCCTGGGGCCCATCGGCCGCGTCCCGGCGGGGCGCGCAACGTGGGCGCGGGCGGCGGCGGCAGCGGCGGCGTGGGGAGCGCCCGCTCCGCCAGTGGGCGTCTTCTACCGCCGCCGCCGCCGCCGCCGCCACGGGCAGCGGCACTGCGGCGCTTCTCTGCGCGCTTTGGAGCAGTGGCCCAGGCACAGCCGCCCGAGCGCGCACGAACCGCGCCACGCCCGCAGGCAGCGTCTCCGCAGCCCCTCGCCCCGCCGGCGAGGACGCCGATTGTGCGCGCCAGCCGGGAGCCGGGCGCAGCCGCCGAGGACGCGCCCCCCGCCGCGGGTCCTCCCGCACCCGCCGCGGATTCCGAGCGCGATGTGAAGCCTGAACCGGGAGGGGAGGACGAGACGGCCGAGCGGGACCAGCCGGACGCTCGGGCCGCCCGGCCGGGGAGGGCAAGTCCTGCGGGGGCGGAGCCCGCCGCGCCCCTCCCGCCCGCGGCCTGCCCCCGCCGCGGCCCAGGGAGGAGGGCCATGGCCAGCCCGGAGGAGCTCGCCGCTCCCCGCCCCCAGGCGCCCCTGCCAGCGGCCGGGGACGAGCCGGGCTCCGGCTCCGGCAAACTCCGCCCGGAGCCCCGGCGCAGCGCGGCCGGCGGGGGGAGCGCGGCGGGCCCGGGCCCGGCCCCCGAGCGGCCAGGCCGCGGCCGGGCCGAGCGCGCCGCGCCCCCGCGCCCGCCCCCCGCCCCCGCAGGCCGCGCCGGCCCCGCTGGGGGCCCCGGCGCGCTCTCTGCGCTCGGCGGCTGCTGGGTGGCTGCCCGCGCTCCCTTCGCGCTCGCCCTCTCCTCCCCCGTCCCCTCCTCCTCTCCATCTTCCTCTTACTTCTGGCCGCCGCCCCCCCTGCCCCCTCCCTCATTTCTCCCCTCCGCGTCTGCCTTTCGCCTCCCCGTGCGTCTCCCAGGGAGGGAGGGCGCGGCGGCGGGAGGCGGCGGCGGCGGCGATGCTGGCGGCGGCGGACAGGAGGCGAGAGCTCCGCTGAGCGTCCCCGCCAGCAGCAGTCCCCGCGGCGGCGGCGGGCGGCGGCGGCTCTTCCTCTCGCCTGCGCTCCACGGCTTGCTGCTCCCAGCCCGCGCCGGGCCGCGGCCGCGGCCGCCGCCGCCCCGGCTTCCCTTTGGCGCGGCCGTCCGCCGCGCGGGCTTCCCCGGCTTCCCGGGCGCTGGCGGGGGCTGCTCCGGCCCCGGCCCCGGCTCCGGCCCCGGCCCCGGCCCCGGCCCCGGCGGCGGCGGCCGAACTCCACGGCGGCCCGGAGGCGCCGGCTTTGCGCTCGCCTCGCTGCTCTTCGGCCCCGACATGGAAGATGGACCTTCTAATAATGCGAGCTGCTTCCGAAGGCTGACCGAGTGTTTCCTCAGCCCCAGTAAGTGGCCTGGCTCCACGTCCCGGCGCCCGGGGCGGGCGGGAAGGGAGCCTGGGGGACGGGCGGCGGGCAGGGCGCTTGTGCCTGGGCGGTTGGCGCCCAGCGGCCTTCTCCGGAGGGGCCGGGAGCTGTCGGCACCCCAGGGGCGTGCGGGAGCGGTCGTCAGCGCCGGGACGCTGGGGCTCCCCCCAGCTTGAGCGTGCGACCGGGAGAGCAGCGGGAGCCGGGCTTGGACGCCTGGACCTGCCGCCCGCCCCCGGCCCCCGGCCCTGCTCGCGGCCACGGCTGTCCCGCACGGCTTTCTACGCTCAACTTTGTGCTGGGGGTGAAACACGCTTTCTTCCACCTGGCGGTCCTGCGGCCGCGGCTCCGCAGCCTTGCGCCTCCAGGAGTGAAGACATCCGCCCTTCCCCGGGGGGGCTGTGCCGGCGTCCCGGGCCCCTCCCCGCAGTGGCCGTGGACTCGCCCGGTGGCGGCGGGTGCACCTCTCACTCCTCCGCCCGGATTCCACTTGGTGTGGAGCCTGGGGGCTCGCGGGGGGTCGTGTTTGTGAGGGAAAGGAAGCACAATGGGGCGCTAGCGTGGAAAAGACGCCGCCGGTTCCCACCCGCCAGACGCGCTCCCGGCCGACCGTGCGGGGCCGCTCCGCCTGGCCACTCGCGGGCGGGGGGCTGAGGGCGCGCCGGGGCAGGGGCGACAGCAGGCATGTCACAGGGGCCGGGGACGAGATCGAGCAGAAAACTGAACGTCGAGCTGCGCTGGAGGGAAAGAGGCAGGCGGGAGACTAAGGAGAGAGGCGCCCGGCGCGCACCGGGATTCGCCGCTGCGGTGGATGGAGGGCGAGCAGGGTGAGGACGGAAGCCCCGGGCGGGGCCGGGTGGGAGCGCCTCGCGGTCCGAGAGGTCGCACCCGTGGGGCAGCGGGCGGCTCCGGCGCCAGCCTGGCCGGGCGCGGCTCCCCGAGGCCCGGAGCGCGGCTCGGGCGCCACCGTCCACCGCGTGCGCACCCGCGCCTTTGTCTGCTCCTCGATCGGGAGCGCGTTTCCGCGGCGCCTTCTCCTGGCAGATTCTCTTCTGAGGTGGCCCTTTCGGCTTCCTGCTCCCAAGTGCTGCTCACTCTGCGGTCCCAGCTGACCCGCAGCTCCCGGGTACCCGAGGTCAAGCCGCTAGTCGTGGCCTGGGGCTGGTCCTGGCCCACTGGCCCTGCTCAGCCGCCTTTAGGCTGCAGCCCCTTCCCGGGAGCCTGGGCAGGGCAGGGCCGGGCCGCCCCCAGCTTGCCTGCCTCCCAGACGCGGCCGGGTCCCCCAAGATCTCGTTCCCCTGCGCCAGTGGACTGTGGCCGAAGCTCTGCTGGTGCTTGGGGGTGGACTTGATTGGCCGGCGGGCGGGCGTGGGCCCTGTGCTGCCCGCTGGGCGTTGTGTCCAGTGCCCGCCGCCCCCAGGTGGCGGTTGAATTAATGGATGCCGCTCTTGAAAGCCATGTGGGTCTGGGTATGAATGGAGTGAGCTGTGGCCACGCCTGCCGCCCTCAGATGTGGTCAGGAGAGACTGAATTGGCTGTGAATTGAAAGTGGTGCCCAGAGTGCGGGGCCCACCAGCTCTCTGTGCTGGAGGTTGGTGGGGGAAGCCTCAGCCAGCCCTAGGACTAGCGTTCCTGCAGGTCCGCTTCCTGGACGCGGGTGAATTCTGTGGAGTAGCAGGCTGGCGAGCAGTCATCCAGGATGGCGGCTAGGTTGCCCAGGGCATCTCTGGCAGGCTTCCCTTGGAAAGGCACTGTGCCTGCAGCAGGAGCCAGTGGTCAGAAGGCGTCCACTCTGCAGAGTCCCCCGGGAAGACCTGCCAGCCTCAGAACCTTGAGGGGGGGGGTCCTCCCACTGGTCAGGAGGAGCCCAGGGCCACCACTGCACTGGTATTTGGGGCAGTAAGTTCCAAGATACTTTTAGACAAAATGTGTCCTTGGCCTTACTCACTGGATAGTGGGGAGAGGAGAGGCTGCCTGTCCCAGGGCCTTACTCCCGGGCCGTCCCCGCCCTCGGGTCTCTGTTTCTGTCTGTTGCTGAGACAAGCTCCCATGCCATGTGCTGACCTGCCAGAGTTCCAAAACTCCACACTCTTTTTTTTTTTTATCTTTGCCATTCAGAATGAGCATTGTTGAGAGGAAAATTCTAGATCCTGTAAGAAAGAAGAAATGCCCAAATGCACACAGATGTTAAGTATGTGTTCCTTGCTTTCCTTTCCCATCGACTTCTTCAGCTGACAACCAAGGCTGCCGTTGTCCACTTACTGTTTGCTGTCAGCACGCAGATCATGTGTTAGAGGTCTAACATCCCAGTTTGATTTTAGCCCTCTGTTTGGTTCATATTAGTCCCAGCTAGTGGGTCTCAGCCTCAAAGAAGCAGCCTGGGCATTAATGTCTAGGGCCACAGGTGGTCGCTGGTCACACGCCTGATGACTGCATGGTCATTAAATTAGTGACGTTCCTGATATCGGCCCATTTCCTGCCATCTGCCCTTAATTCCTTAATCCTTAATTCTGCCTCAGACACTCAGCCTCACGCTTCATTGCTGGGAGCGTTGCTGATTGGAATAGAAACAAGTCCTGCGCACGGAGAGCCCAGATCTTCCCTGCACGCAAAGTTTGAAGGTGCAAGTGTGTGTACAAAGAAGAGCTGAGAAGCTACACAGGGAGAGGCTGGTGTAGCTGCATTCACTCTTTGCGACAAACGGGTCCCTGGGCTGTCTGCCCTAGGTGGTCAGTGTCCTTGTTCCCTGTGACATGGCTGGACAAGCACACACCTGCAGGAGAAAGGACTTGAGTTGAGAAGCTGCCTCGGGGACACTCAGATACCCCAAATCTGTTCCGTATCTATTTTACCAGTTTGCTGCTGTGAGTGACAGCAGTGAGGAAACAGGAAGACACAGAGAAGGAAAAAAGATGAAATGAGATACGTTAGTCTGGGACAGATTTCTGAATGCAGATGGCAGGTACCTGAAGGCAACAGTTCTTGTCATGTAGTTCTCAGCTATTCAAAGTAGAGCCCGCGTGCGACTCCAGGAATTGTGGATTCTAAATGTGGTCCTCGCCCATCACTCACCACTCTCACTGTTCTCAGGACAAACGATACTGTGTGGCCAGCACGTGGACAAACTGAGATAGATGCAGTCCCTCCTGAGAGCAAATGCGTTTGCCACACCGAAGTGACTTTCACAGGCACAGGAGTGCAGGCCAGCAACACAGCAATAGGAATGGGTCCAAGCCAATCAGCAGCCAGCCTGGAGATGTGTACTGAGCACCTGCTGGGTGGAAAGGGTTTGAGGGAGGTGAAAGCAACCAGTGCGGTTCCCTGGAGGACAGGAAGTGTGGGTCTGGGTGCCTGGGACGGGGAGCAGCAGGGCAGGCCTGGGTGTGGGCAGTGGTGACATCCAGGGGCCAGCTGCTCTTTGGGTCATCAGATGGGGTGGAGTTAAATAGGATATTAATAATGTAATTTCACTTTTAATCTGATGCAACAGCTCATCCCCACAGAGGTGAACGAGAAGCAGTAGGAAGATGGTGTCTTCTGTTAGCTCAGCCTGACGCACGTGGTGACATTTTTTGCACAGACAACCTTTTCTACCCCATTAGGCCAAAAAAACTGCAGTGCAATAGATAGAGAAATACTGGGGTTTTGTTTACTGTATGGCAGATTAAACGTGGTGTTGTGAACATTTCACCAATTACTGCACTGTGCATTTTTGTTTAAAAGCAGCTGATGCAGTTTGAGAAGAACAGAGGAAGCAAAAGTAATATTTTCCCTTAAAAGGAAACTCTTAGCTGTAATTCACAACATTTTAATTTCTTTTAAAATGCTAATCAGGCTCCTTGCAGCTTGACTGTAAGACTGTCTAAAGGAAAGCTCTGTAGTGACACAGGAGCTCCTGATCCTGCAGAGAGAACGGAAGGAAGCTGTCCGGCCGGCGCTGGCACTTACCTGTAGCACTTGCCATCTCCTGGCTTACTTTGCTCACTGACTGGCTTACCTGCTGTTTGCTGATCTTGCGCTCTATAAGGTGAGCTCAGCAGGCATCTGAGGGCAGGGTTTGTCACTTGTGATTATAACCCTGACCCTGACAGTGGCTGACACCAGGCTCTCAAATATTTGCTGGAAATTCAAAGATCAAGGCAGAACCTGGTGCCTCTCTTCCAGGAACGTAGAAATGGGTGAGTGCTGTTGAATGCTTACTTCATGCCAGCATCTTCTAGGGACCTAGGGGTCAAAACGGACAAAGCTGAATTGGTCTTCCAGGGAGCACGCGGTTCACGAACATGTTCCAGCCAGGGGATCACATGTGACACTCACAAGCTGCCTTCTGACCATAAGCCTGTGAGATTTCACCCGAGGTGGATGCCGTGCCTGGATCTGGAGTGTGGAGGGCTCTGGAAGCCCACGGGAGCCCTTGCAGACCAAGAGACGGGTTCCTTCTGAGCCTGCAGACTGGGAAAGAGCCTGGGTAGGAAGAAGAGAGAGAGGAAAGAGATTCTTGAGCTAGGCTAACAGTCTGCCAGGAGCCCTCAGAGGACTGCACAGAGCAATCACGGGAAGAAGGCAGGAAGACCACTGTCAGTGGTGGGACTGGGGCTCCCCGTGACGGAGCAGAGGGCTGGTGGCTGTGGCAGAGAGGAGGAGAGAGCTTGCATCCAGACGGGGACCATGGATGTGAACAGTCCAGGGTGGTGGAGGTGACCGGTGGCAGATCGCACTAAGTTGGCTGGTGACTGACCGAGGAGGGAGGACGCAGTGATTCCCAGGTTTCTGGGCTGGAGGTTGGATGTGTGTGGTTGGGTATAGCAGTGCTCAGAGAAATACCAGAATGGCAGCTATCAGAATGGACCCCCTTCGTGTATCCAGCAGTGTTCTTGGAGTGGGGCTCTCTGCTTGTGTGGGGCCTGGGCTCAGTGGTGTAGACAGAAACACAGCAAGCAAACAAGCACATCAGAGGAGCTGTGCAGGGGCAGGCGTTG